TATATATATGGCTATGGGTGCCCTTGGGGATGTTGAGGCAGTGACTCCCTCTGTAAACCACACTGGGCTGGAACTGACTCTGAGGCCCAGGCTGGCTTTAAAATCTCAGTAATCCTCCTGCCTCAGCCTCCTAAGTACTGGGACTACTTTGTGTTGTAGAGAAGCTAATGCTTTCTGAAACTCACACTGTGTTAAGTAAATTCAACTAAAAGTGTTTAGGAATGATATTTCATAAAACTTAACATGTTTTTGTTTAAAATAAAAATTTAGGGAAGTCACATACATGAAAAGTTCTTGCTTAAAAATCCATTTAAATACCAATAGAGACATCAAAACATAGTTTTGCCTTGATAGAATGAGCCAGATCTTTAAAGTAAAAAAAAATCCACCTATATTAGACAAGCAAAAATTACATAAAATATTCATAGAGAGAGCAGAAAAGACATTAATTTTCCATTGTTTTCTAAAGTAAAAACATACTACAAAAACAATATAATTTCTTTTCTCTCTTTTAAAAAATACTTACAGCTGTTGTCTTAATTCTGGGGAATCTTGAGGTGTACCCAGTTGATTCAGAGTCCTTTGTATTTCCACAGCTATCATAATGAGAAATTAATGAATGATTGTTAGAAAAGTCATGGCCACAGAAATAATTAAGGTAGAAGCAATTATGTAATTAGGTGGCATAAAGAGATAGGAAAACAAAGGCACAATAATAGACAATAATAGTTGAGAAAAAAGTAAATGGTTTATTTAAGTCTAATCAGGAACAAGAATGAACTTGTTTTTCAAAAGAAAATTGAGTAAGAATACTGGCATGTGAAACTGCACTTATGATCTTTCTTATTCTACAAGACAGCAAATATATAGAGGTACGGATGTTACTAGAATCTACTCCTATAAGAATCATGGGGACAAAAACTTTGGTGATTACACATTTCATTGTAATATAAAGCATTATAATTGAATAATAAAATTAGAGAACATCACTTTTAATCATCTGTATGGTAAGTGACACAGAATGCTAAAACAGTCACAGAATCTCAACTTAATCCCTGAGAGATGACATTTAGAAGATGATTTTATCATAGATAACTTTATTGTTGAAAATGTGTTCAAAGTTAGCACCAATAGGGGACAAAATGACATTATAAGCCATACAACATGATGTGGTGAGAAAATCAGAATAGTACTTACATAGTTTTCTTGCCTAAAATATTTAATGTCTAATCATAAGGAAGAAATCAGGCCAATCTAGACTACAGGATAATCTACAAGACAGCTGGTCTGGACTTGTAAAATGCAAATGATGCAGCCTGTTGAGTATGACAGGACCTTTCACAGCCCAGTAGTGCATGACCCCAGGACCTAGGGTGCCAGGCACTCAAGGTCACCAAAGATTCACCTAGGACTGACTTTGAGTTCCCTGTTTATGCCAGTGAAGACTAAAGACACAGACACTCGTGGGAGTATACAAAGTAGAAATATGTTTTATCTTTAAGATTTATTTATTATGTTTATGTGTGAGATTATGTATCCCTCATGCATGAGGAGCCCACGGAGACCAGAAGAGGGCACTGGATACCCTAGAACTGGAGTTACAAGCAGTTATTAGCTGTCATGTGAGTGCTAGTAGTTGAACCCAGGTCCTCTGCAAGAGCAGCAAGTGTTCTCAACCACTGAGCCATCATTCCAGGCCCCCAAATGCTTCATTAATGAGAATTACAGAAAAGTAAGTGAGTGAGAAATTAAGGAAAAGGGAGGAAAACTCCAGAGAAAGAGAAGTTTCCAAGAGAAGAAAACACTGTTGGACTTCCCTGTCTAGGATTTCTGCAGGGCTACAGCAGAAACTAGACAGAGGCTGAGGTAACTGCTGGGACTGGCTAGTTTTCTAGGCTATCATCAGTCAAATCAATGGAGGCCCCACATACTCTATGAATGTCACCCTGACCCAACTGGATCAGTGATTACACACTGTTCATGGACTTCCCGCCAAGTTAGGGGTGGCTGAAGCCCCTGCCTTTCTATCTGTCTCTGACTTATTATTTTCCAGCTGCTGACCTTGACTGGCTGCCAGCTAGTTCTTAGCCCTGGCCAGCACTGTCATCATTAACCTTGCATGTCTCACTGGCTTTTAGACTGTGTTCTCTTAGTTCTCACATTTACACGATCAACTTGTACCTTTACCAAGGCAGAGAGTACTCTACCACAGCCACCAAGATGTAGTTATAATACTTCTTGGCCACCTCATATGTAATCTTGTCCATGGCTGGGAGTAGTCTCCTAGGTAGAAATCTCTTGTTAGAAACTATAGTTACTCACAATTTAGTCTTTTATAATTTCGCTGGATTATAAATAAGGAGGATGAAAGGGCAATAGTACTTTTCATAACATTCCTCAAAAGGTTCAGGGCTCTAGCTGGCCTGCTGTTGGTGGCCCAGAGCCCTGCCTCTCCTCTCATCTGCTTAGCTTGGCTATCTCATCCCAGGCTACAAATCCTCTGATGCAACTTTTCAGTGCTTCAGACTCTGCCATGACAACCCTTCATCTTCTTTTCTACTCTATCCTCTTCACTTCCTGTAACATATGTGAACAACTTGCAGTTGTCACTATGGGCTCTTTTCTCTTACTACCTACTCAGAGACAGTGCCTATATCATTAGTAATGCTAACCAAAAGTAAAATGATGACTTGGTGGCATTCTTGGGGTTATTAGATAGCCGAACAGTGACAAGATAACTGTACTCCTTCTACCTTGGAGGATGCAGAGATTTATATTCACCAAATAGAACTGTTCTGGATTGTGTGAAGCTTCTCTTCCCTCCCTTCCTCCCCCAGTCCTTCTACAGACCCTGATTCTGTCCTCGTCACAATCATGGCGATCCACACATAAGTTATCTGATCAGAAACTACAGAAAAAAAAAAAAAAAAAACTAATGGATATTCCAAAGACAATATGATTCACTGATGTAATGCTCCATAATCTCAAAGATATTGGACTTCTAGAATGCTTAATAGCCTATTAAAGACTCGATTATAGGCTAAAGGGATGGCTCAATAGTTAAGGGCACTAGCTGCTCTTGCACAGGACCTGAGTTTGGCTCCCGGTGGCTAACAACCATTTACAACTCCAGTTCCAGAGGACCCAACATCCTCTTCTGGTCTCTGGAGGCATTGTAGACCACACATGCATTTACATACATTCAGGCACAGCACTTATACATTATAAATAAATAAATAAATAAATGAATAAATAAATAAATAAATAATAAAATGTTTAATGGTCAGCTCTGGTGGTGTACACCTTTAATCCCAGCCCTGAGGAGGTAGAGGCTGACAGATCCTTGTAAGACTGAGGCTAGCCTGATCTACATAGTGAGTTCCAGGTCAGCTGGGGCTATAGCAAGACCCTGTTACAAAGAGACCAAAAAAATTTTTTTTAAAGACTCAATTATGGTATCTCCTGGGAGAAAACTAATCTTGCAAAGTCAAAATGCTGTCAACAGGATCTTTCTGATCTCAAAAAACAGACACTTCAGCATGTTCTACTAGATCCAGAAAGAAACTTAGTCTGGACAAGTAAGAGCTAAAAGTAAAATAGGGGCTGGAGAGATGGCTCAGTGCTTAAGAGCACTGGCTGCTCTTGCAGAGGACCCAGGTTTGATTCCAAGCACCCACATGGAGGCTAACAACCATTAGTAACTCCAGTTACTGGGTATCTGATACTAAATAAAATAATTTTTTAAGAAAATACACTATTTCACAATTATATCTCATTACCTATTTATAAACTTTCTTCCATCCCACCAGGTGATTTAGAGACAATATGCAGGAGGAGAAACAACCAGGCTTCCACTGAAGTAGAAGTTGCGACTACACTGGCCATTTGTAGTCAAGGTAATTCAAAGACAACTGAAGTAGTTATTAAACGGAAGAGCATGCCCATCCAAGGAGGAAGGGATGCAAATAAACTTCAAGAGAAGAATTTGGGGGGGGGGTCTGATGATACCACCATCTTTAATAAGCATTAGAATCACAGAGCTTTATAAGGGCAGAAAGGATTAAAGTTTGGAAGTATGAGTTGTCACAAACAAGTGAGGAGTACAATGAGGGCAAAAGGAACATGGGATATGATTATTGAGGGTGAAATAATAACACAAACTGTATCCTGTGGCCAGATGTACAATGGTAATGTCATCACCTGTCAGTGTTTTCTTGCTTGCTCTGCAGTGTATGCATGCAGACACTTTAACTATTCCCCTCCTTCCTTATCTCTTCCCTCCTGTTTATACACGGTGTGTTGCTACTGGTTGAACTTACTTTGTCCACAATCTAACAAATACTGGCATTCAGGTTCACTGAAAGAGAGGAGTAGTCAACTAAAAATCACCCAGTAGACATTGCAGGGGGCCCAGGAACTGAACAGGTTATTTCATGTCTGCTGTGGTAGAGTAAAGGCTCTCTGTTTGAACAAGAGACATAAGCAGAGTGCCAAGAAGGGGCTTGTCTTCCTTTTAAAGTTTATGTAGTAAAAAGAGAAAAACATGCTCAGTGTGGGAAACAGAGGATGAACTGTAATGAAAATTTACATCGAGCTGCCTAGCACTCAATCCTGACTACACTGGATCTTTCTGGTTGATTATAGCATGATCAACAAGAAGTAGCAACACAGAACTAGTATCTGGAGGGGAAATAAATTGTTAAAGAAAAAAAAATGTGTTAAGAGTCTGAGCTTGGCTTCATTAGAAGACTAACTCAAGTCAGGAATAAAGGGAGAACTAGTGGCAATCACAAAAAGAAAGATCAGACTCTTAAGCTTGTTATAATCAAAAGTTAGATTTACTCAGTGCTATTTAGGTTTTATAGACTGTGAAATTACTCACAAACCAAAAACTTAGGCTAACCATCTCCTTTTTCCTCTGACACAATTGTTTAGATAAGAGTCTCATATAATGAAATTTCTTAGAAATTATGCAATTGCCTTAGAGAATGCATTTACTGATAGATGTTTCTCATGAATACAAATAGAAGACTCCTGACACTCATGTAGCGACAGTCCAGCAAAGGAAAAACATGTATCATATAAACCCAAAAAGGAGGCAGACAGTAAATGCTGCAAAAATGCTTCAAGCAAGAACCTAAAATAGGTATGTTCTCCTGGAGAAAAATTCCAAAAGCCTTAGTGGGGGTAACATGTGTACTGGCTCTAAAGAATAAGACACAGAAAAGTAATCTGTAGTTTGGAGATTAAGAGCTCTAATTCCATACTGAGACACAGAATGAAATTACCAGATCATCTATCAGTTTTCACCCATGGAAAGAACTGTATTTTATTGATTTCTGTATTTACAGAATTTACCGTATTGTTGACAATGAATACTTCTATAACATAACTATAAAATAGCATTGGAAAGATCTCAACTTATAGAAGAAACTATTCATTTCTATGATATAAAACATAAATATAAGTTCGTTCAACACTGCTAAGTGCTCAGTTGCCATTCACTCAGTATTTGCTAGGTTCTCATGATAGGCTGGACACAGCGGGAGGTTTGGGGACAGGAACATTAATTTGGCCATGCTCTTTAGCTTGAGGA